GTTGTTTACAATACAACCGGAGCACATGCCGCTGAGGTGAGGGGCGGGACGTTTAGACGCGCGCTAGAGGCGGTTTAGCCAATCACAACACACTGGGCTAGCTAACCAATCAGAGCCCATCGCCTATTTCTGAGGGAGGTGCTTCATAAAAGAAGGAAATGATCAGCCCGTTTCTCAGAGAAGGGACAGAGAGGTGTGGAATAAAGGTAAATTATGTGAAAAATAATGCGTTTTTTAAAAAACGAAACGTTAACACATGTTAGACTGCACCCCATAAACACAATCAAGCCTAGAAAAAAACAAGTGAACCACCCCTTTAAAAAACAATGAATGCATAATAGGAAACATGAACACTATTAAATAAAGTAAATTCAAAAGTCAATACGCTATTAAAGTAAATGTATTAAGAGCAGTGTTGGGAAGGTTACTTTGGAAATGTAATAGGTTACAGATTACAAGTTACCCTATTTAAAATGTAATTAGTATTGTAACTATTTCAATTACTTTATTAAAGTAATGTAACTGATAACATTTGATTACTTTCTAATAAAGTTTCTAAGGAATGTTTTCAACTGTTAATCTGTTGAAAATGGCAGGAGACATCGTGCGCATCAAAAACAGGCTAAGCAAATATTAATTCAACATATTCTAGCTTTTTTCAGAAAATATTCAGATGTAACCCCCTTTGCAATAATTAACTTAATTAAAAAAAATTTCTCAGTAACTGTAACTGATCACAGTTACGTTGATTTTGTAATTAAATTACATATTGTCATTACATGTTACTCCCCAACCTTGATTAAAAGGATCGAAAATTCCTTAAATTATTCCTTGTTTATTAACTGAAGTTAATAATTGGTGTCTGATTGCAACTTGGTTATGTACACAAAAATTTGAGGGTCAATAAGATTTCTTTCTTTTTTTAAAGAAATTATTACTTTTATTTAGCAAGGATGCATTAAATTGATCAAAAGTGACAGTAAAGACATTTATAATGTTACTTAAGATTTCTAGCATTCGGGATAGGTTTTATAATAAACATTAATCAGAAATTAATTTACTTGCTGTCAGAACCACGCATTAGGGTTTTACATTCAAATATAGGTCCGTCTAATCTGTCTAATCTTTTAAAAATCAATTAATTCACTGTCATTTTGTAGTTCTTTGATGGTGCGGTACAGATCAGATGGTCTCCAGGCACCGCTATGGGCTTTTCTTTAGATCCAAAAAGCTATTTTTAACTGCAAGTGTTTGTTCCTAGTTTCTTGGAAACCTTCAGATTCTGTTGTAAATTCACTGCAGGGTTTTCATTGATTTTTCCACACGAAGCCCCACTGTGGGCTCCAGGATCATCTAATTCGATTTAAGAGAGTAGAGGTTTAGTTGAAAGAGAGTTAAGTTTGGCGAGAAGAGATGGACAAGTTTCTCCTGGAAGTTGAAGTATGTAATGTGCAGTATGCAGTAGGAAGAATGACTTTCACACTTTATTCTACAACATAAATTACATGCAGACCACAAACTGAACAGATTTTTAGCTTAAAGAGGTCATATGATGTTGCTAAAAAGAACATTATTTTGTGTATTTGATGTAATGAAATGTGTTTATGCGGTTTAAAGTAAAAAAACCACATTATTTTCCATATACTGTACATTATTCTGAAACGCGTAGATTTTTACAAAGCTCATCAGTCTGAAAAGTGAGGTGTGCTCTGATTGGCCAGCTATCCAGTGCGTTGTGATTGGCCGAATACCTCAGGCATGTGAAATGTTACGCCCCTACCATACTGTGATGTCATCTCCCAGCGCGACGAGACAAAAACATTAAAACCCATTATAAACGAGGCATTTGTTGCATCCAGTGGGGGCATAATTACTGATTATAATGACTTATACTGTCTTTTTACACATTGCATTGCATCGCGCCGCCATAAAACCATGTCTGCATTTGGGTTGAACTGTTCTGGAACAGTGTTGTAAATACAACTTAACCATATCTCTTTGGGTTTGAGACTTTAGTCTTTGCAACTTTAGGGATCTTATCTATTCATGAACAGCTTGTAACACTCCAAAGAGAAAGGAAAACTTGAAATCGCATCATATGACCCCTTTAATGTCAATGATTTCAGATGAACCCGCCTTAAAAATATCCATTAGACAGTCTTTTCCTGGAGAAGTGAACGGTCAGAATGAAGTGACCCAGACTTTGTACTGTCAGAAGTCTGTCTGTGTTTGTGTGTGTTGTTATTCTGTGACTCAGCAGTGCTGTAATCCTCTTCATGAGTTTGTCACGTTCAAGGTTCAGCTTAAGAAAGCACAGCTGCGTGAGGAGCGATCGGCTGCAGATGTTGGTAATTATCTCAGCAGGGAGAGAGAGGAAGAGAGAGAATGAGGGCATCCTTTCACGGGCTGAGGGATCTCTGCGGCCCCTCTTTGATCTGTGATCATTTGCAGCTGATCGTGTTTGATCAGATTATAAAGAAAGAGAGGAACACTGTAAAACTCCCTGCCGGTGTCTGTGGTTTGAAATGAATCGGTGCATCATCACAGACAAACGTCAGCTGTCTCTTGCTGTGACTTAATATCTGAGTGAAAGTTGGCGGGGCTTATTTTTGTGTCAGCTGAAACTGAGTTTTTAGTGAAAAATAATTTTTTTGTGAAAAGAGTTTTTGCACAGTCAGATATAGTGACTTTAAAATGTTGCTATGTCGTTGCTACGGTGATTTGAGTGGCTTTAGACTGTTGCTATGCAGTTGCTAGGGTGCTCTGAGTGGCTTTAGATATGCAGTTGCTGTGGTTCTCTGAGTGGCTTTAGACTGTTGCTATGCTGTTGCTAGGGTGCTCTGAGTATTTTTAGACTGCCATTGCTGAGGTGCTCTGAGTGTTTCTATGCTGTTGCTAGGGTGTTCTGAGTGTCTTTCGACTGTTGCTATGCTGTTGCTAGGATGCTCTGAGTGGTTTTTGACTGTTGCTATGCTGTTGCTGAAGTGCTTTGAGTGTTGCTATGTTGTTGCTAGGGTGCTCTGAGTATTTTTAGACTGATGCTATGCCATTGTTGGAGTGCTCTAAGCAAAAATCTTAAGTGTGACAACTTTTTGTGAAGCAACGCCACATCTTTTCTTTTACATGGCGCATGATTTGACGAATCATTCAGAACTACGGTAGTTAAATACTAGCTAAATTTTAAAACATAGAGTTAAAATTTTGTTCAAATCACTGACACTTACTAACATTTTTATTTAATGTTGACTAAGTAAAATGACTGGAGTAGGAAATTAAAGAAGACATGACATGCAGGTAAATGTAAGTGTAAGGTTTTAGTAAGTATTTTATAAAGTTATAGTAAGGTTGTAGTAAGTGTTTTATTTTGATTGTTGTTATTTTAAAATGTGTAATGTAATTGATTACGTAACTAACATTTTGTCATATAATTTGGAATCAGTAACAGATTACAATTTTCAAGTAATCTACCCAGCTCTGTATATATAGTGTGTGTGTGTGTCTGTGTGTGTGTGTGTGTCTGAGACACATCGCCTTCAGTGATTTAAAGCATATATAAGCATATGAGGACACAAATTTGTATAATGACATGGGTATGACATAGGTATTACAAGGAGAAGGTGACTTAAGAGGACATTACCCTATGTCCCCATTTTTCAAAACGCTTATAAATCATACAGAGTGAGTTTTTTTGAGAAAGTAAAAATGCACAAAGTTTCCTGTTATGGGTAGGGTTAGGTGTGGGGTTGGTGTAGGGCAATAGCACATACAGTTTGTACAGTATAACAACTATAACGCCTATGGAATGTCCCCACAATTCACAAAAACAAACCTGTGTGTGTGTGTGTGTGTGTGTGTGTGTTTGTGTTACAGAGGGCTGTTTGCTAGTCACTACACAGAAACACACTACCTGGAGGATGGAAGTGCCGTCACCACCTCACCGAATGTCACGGTAAGATCACAACCACTGCTCCCATCCAGATTTAACCCCCTGTAACAAACCCCTGTTATTCTGCAGAAAACTAATTGGTTCATGTGCTCTGAGGACACAAAACAGGTGGAAATTGTACACAATATAGGATTTGTTACAAACCCTAACAAGCTACCTATGTAGGCAGTGTGTGTGTGTGTGTGTGTGTGTGTGTGTGTGTGTGTATATACTTCAGTGATTTAAAGCATATATTTTAAACTCATGATTGACGCAAAGCCCACATTTCTGTCCTGTATCAGCTCATTTCAGGCCTTCTATTTTACCTAAACCAAACCTGCAGTTACAATCCCATCTTATCACTGATCTCCGCCCTCGGGGCGACTGCTGTCAAAAGCTTTAGAGAAGAGGCGGTCAAATGAGGGCCACCAGGAGAGCAAAAAGCCACCCATGATGCAGCTTTGTGTGTTTTATGTGTTTAGGTTGCAGCTCAGATTACTGGTCAGAGTAACAGACACATTGAGGCCTGAAGGCTCCTCTGAGGAGCACCTCTGGTTCACTGACCCCTGTCTTCCTCAATCTGCTCTCCAGCAGACCGCCAGTTTCCCTCGCCAGACAATTTGAGCTGAACACTTTATGAAAAGAAAACACATGCTATCAGAAATCCAGCAAAAGAAAATAGGCAAGGCAGTTATATCATTACTGTTGCTCAGGGTTAGGGTTTGTAATTTAAACAAACATTGAACCTTTTGTATTGAGCTTTTGCTGGTAACTTGTCCTGAATCATGTGTTTCACATTAGTTATCAAACTTATGATTTTTTATTTATTTATTTGCTCAGAGCACACCAGCATCAGCATAGCAACAGTCTAAAGCCACTCAAAGCACTTTAAGAAATAAAGAAAGAAAGACAAAAGAAAGGCAATATTCTCATCATGCTCCAGTAAGGGTCAGTTAAGCACTAGATGTTTCACAACACCGGAGGGTGAGATTTCATAAAGCATTGTGACTTTTTCAGCTCATTCAGCAGTTTTTCTCAGCAGTGTGAGGCAGTATGCATCCCTGCTTTATTTGGATGGGAAACAAGAGTTCAGGACAGGTCATCCAGAAACAGCAGCAGTCATCGACCTGGATGTCATCAGAGGGAGCAGTGCTGAGTTTGGGCTTCAGAAACTGATTTGGGATGTTGGAACACAGAATAAGACAGATGCTCTGTCAACCTGAGTGCAGAAATTGATGTTTCTCACACGCATACAAATTCCAGTTTTATTGTGCAGGTTTTGGGAGATTGTTCAGAAGAGTTACATTACTTCTCTTGATTATTTGATTTTCATATATTTTTTTATTTGGAAATCGATAGGTGAAGTCACAGTATTCTGAACTGTAATGCAATATTTATTTATGCAATTATTTGTGCATTTAAAATTTATACTTTTGATGCAAATTAGGTCAATTTGGTTAAAAAGTCTGCCAATTGCTGTATGTACAGTATGTGTATATGTATATATATATATATATATATATATATACAGATTGCATCAACTGACAAAATGTATATTATTATTATTTGTATTTATTTATTTATTTAATTTTATTTTTATATTCAATTGGCAGATGCTTTTATCCTGACATTTATTGCATTGAAGGTTCATGCATTACCTGGGAATCAAACCCATGACCTAGATTATCATCAACAACTAAACTTCATCTTGTACTTATCAAACTCCTCTTAATAACAATTTCATCCACATTGTGACTGGGACTGGGATGCGTCCAGCTCTGTATTTTCACATTGTTGTTTCTCATCAGTTTTATGTGTAAATAATGTAAAGCAGTCACTTGCATATATTAGCCATACTGTGCTTGACTCATTCTTACCATTGCGTGATCTATCTTGCACACCTGGCCCTAAAACAATGTTTCACAGCGCTGATCGAATTCTGCAGTAATTGATGTATTTGCTGCATCCAAACATTTGTGCACCAGGCAACAGAACAGCATGTTTTGTGCTGTAAACGAGATGAATTGTGCCGATCTGATGAGATCCAAGGCCCAGATGGAGTGTACTCACTCAGTTGTGTTCCAGAAAGACTTGAGGAGTGTGTCAGTGTGTGTCTGTTCTCCCAGACCTCCTCCGCCTTTGATTAAGTCTGTTTTATGGTTGTGTGTGTGCTGCCGTTATTTCATCTTGAAGCAGCACTCCTCTGAGACACATTTGGACTCGCTCAGTCGGACGCTGCCCAACACCCGAGAAGGGCTTAAATCGTCAGTATATTACGGCGATTAGAACAGGAGTGTCAAACTCATTTTAGACCATGAGACAAATTTTAATTTATTTATTTATATATATTATTATTATTGAGAAGACAAAGGAACTATGCTGTGGGAACAAAAATAGGATCGGTACGGCTGGTGTCTCATATGAACAAATTACTATAAAAGGTGTAAAGGTAGAGCAAGTTTCACATTTTAAATATTTAGGTACAATCATTGATGACAAACTCTCATTCCATAATTATATTGAATAACATAGGTAGTGGACAAAAATGTATTTAAAAATAATTTTAAAAAAATTTAAATACATTTTAGAAACAGGTGGAGTTGAATGAATGTGTTTATTATCATTATTAATATTATTAATTTATTTATTTTTTATTTATCTTAAATTATACTGAATAACATATAGGTGGTGGACAAAAATTAATTAAAAGATGGTGTAAAGGAACACTTTTAGAAACAAGTGAATGAAGGGTTGTTTGTTTGTTTGTTTAGAATCATATTCAAAACATTTAGGTGATGATAAAAATTAATAATATAAAATTGGTGTGAATGAACACTTAGAAACAGGTGAATTTTTTCAATGTTTGATTGTTTGTTTGTTGGTTTAAAAACATACAGGCAATGGACGAAAATGAATCAAACTAAAATGGCATAAATTGCACAAACGTGTGGAGTTGAAGGGAGGGTTAGTATGATCTCACTCATCACGTCTCCGCTGTGGCCCACAGTATGAAGCGACCAAGTGATTTAACACTGGACCTGAGGCTGACCGCACACCATCTGTTAGCCTTTACATCACTGAGAAGCTACATGTATTCAGAACATGCATTTGATCACATTTATCCTTAATCATTATTATGAACAAAATCTTTACAATACCTTTGTTAAAGTTGCTGATTGTTTGAAGTACATCAGTGTTGCTCTTGCCTTACAGATATTACTATGCTTTATTTAATGTTGTGCCATGTTAAATCCCATTTCACAGAATTATGCATATTTTCACCAAAATAGCAGTACAGAGCATACTGAAAGATCTTAATAATAATGCTGCATATTCTCAGTCTGCGTCTGATTGTAGGGTAAAGCATTTGCATTGAGAATAACTTTATTATTTACATGTATTCATTTATGTACTCATTTGCTAGACGCTTGTTTGTTGAGTCTGTTCAAATCCACATGCTGTATACATAGAGTTATGATTTTAATTCAGCTGGCGGGTCTGTGGCTTTGTGTTTCATTGTTAATAATGGAAGTGGAATGTCTTTTTTTGTCCGACGGCTGACAGGAAACAATGCAGTGATGGACACCATAGCTCAGGGCGCTGTGTGTTATGATGGATGTCCTCATAGACTCAGAGATATATGGAGGACTGGAGTTTACAGCAGGACATGCTCTTTAAATAACCCCAATGTCACTGGTGTGCTGGGATGAATATGAAATAAAATGAGCTTTATAAAGCAGTCAAATCTGACTGGATGAGCCGCATTTGAAAGCATGATACAGATGCTATATTAAAGGCAAGTTACTATATTGATCGGCAACCATCAAAACAGCCTACAGCTTTCCTAATGAGCTCTTTATTGGAAATATTAATCAAAACAATATTGACAAGAAAAAATTGAAATTTCTTGCTTGCTCTGACTGGACTTAAATTGAATAAGCCTTTCATAAACATTAAGAAAATACAAATTTAGTAAGTAAAAAGTACATTTTTCACAGTTAAAAGACTTTTAAAATTGTTTAACTAATAATAGTTATTGTTGGTTTTGGTATTATTTATTTATTTACTTACATTGAATATCATAAAGATTAATAAAAAAATGAATAAAAATAAAATGGCAAAAATTAACTGTTTTAGAAACAGCAACCCTCGCTTTCCTAACAAGCTTTTATACTGTTTACTGAAAATATTCATCAAAACAATATTGACACAAAAAAAGTAGAATTCTCTCTGATCTTGCTGGATAACTAAAGTAAAAATTATTTTTATTATTATTTATTATTTTATTATTATTTTTATTTTTTATTATTACATTTTTTTAAGTAAAAAGAAAGACTTTTAATAATGATAAACTTATCATATTTATCGATTTACTAATTAATTAATTTATTTAGAATTGTATTGAATAACATACAGGTGGTGGACAAAAATGAATAAAATACAAATGCTGTGAATTAATATATTTAGAAATTACAAACTTAGCATTCTAAATTCTACAAATTTAATAATAAAATTGATAAGTAATAAAATAAGTATTTTTTTGCCCAACAACACCCTTTTACCATGGTAAAATAGCTGTATCATTGCTTTATTTGTTGTTTTTGTAATATGTTCACACTGTGGTTGCTGGATAAAGTCTGAAAACACCCAACAGGAAAAGGCTAAAAATGCAAATGTCTTTAAAGAAAGAAAGAAAGAAAGAGTAAAACCACTGGGCCAGCGCTGAAAATAGGACAGTATTTCTTTCTGTAGTTTGTGCAGACAGAGCGAGTCTTGGACAGGATTGTTGTGAAGCTCTAAAGAATCTCTGCCAGAGCCGTTCCCAGTCCAAACCAGACAAGAGCTGCTCACTTCCTCAGACAAACTACTCTGTCCTGAAGAGCCTCTCGCTGCGTACAAACACACGGCAACACTTCAGGAGCGACACTCGCATTTACATGATGCATGCGCTGTGAGCAGAATACAGAAGCAGATCCATACAATCAAGAGCTAAATGTCAATAGATTTACCATGCTTTCTGATTTGATTATGTCATTTGCAGTGCCTCATTTGATTGCAGTTTATTCCATTATCATAAAAGAATGAAAGTAATCAGAGTTTTGCTTTGTTTTTTTGTCAGATTTTCTACGTCTTTTGACTCAAATCAAATCAAGTCTGTAATGTTGTAATTAATTTGTTTGTTTTTTTTTATTCACAAATGATTTTCTTTTGAGAAAACGAGTGAGAAAAGCACCTCCTGAAGCAAGGCAGCTGAAAACATGGGTCTTTGACCCCTACAGTGGGGCATGTTGTCACAATAGTTATACCTTTAAACCCCCATAAAGCCTGCTGTATCATATTTGATGCATTTCTGATGCCTCAAAATGATCAATATGGTCTTAAACCTGTTAAACTTGTTGCACTTGTCTGCTTGATCGTTTATATTTTTACAAGTAGAAGGTCTTTTAGTGTAATTGTACAAACATCCACCTTCAGCTCGTGCTTAACAACTTAACAAAATCACATTAAACAAACTTAAAAGTCATTCATATTATGTAAGGTTTCACAGGGTTAATACTAGGCTATTTATTGGCAAAATGTGAACAATAAAACCATTCTTAAACAATGAAAATACAGAAACAGTTTTTTTATTCTATTGTGTTATATTTAATCAGTTTGATTCAATTGCATGTAAAACAGCAGGAAGTGCAAGTGTTTTTGTGCATATGATAAGTCCATTTGATAATTTACCCTGACTTTACTTTAAAATACATTGATGTACTGATGTAAACATCTGAACCTCCTGTCTTTTGTGTCCCAGATTCACTGCTACTATCATGGCGAGGTGGAGGGTCACCCGGGGTCAGAGGTCAGCCTCAGCACCTGCACAGGACTCAGGTGAGTTAGCGGTCACACATCTGTACATTAACCTCACCTCACCACCTTCCCATAGTGCACTGAGCTCGGGGACCGATATTACATCAGGAAACGCCTGAGAAAAGGGCATTTTAATTATGGCGTGTGAAGTTCAGCATCCTCCAGAGATACGATACACTTCATGTTTTAATTATGAAAAAGCACACTTAGGTTTAATTCATTACCCGAGAAGGGACATTCAGATAGTTTCAAAAGTGAAGAGTGTGATGTCGTATGAGGACGTCGCTAGTCAAGTCACATTGATTTCTATAGCGCTTCATACAATATAGATACAAATTAAATACATTTCCAATCTTACAGTAGCCTACATTTTACTACATTTACATTTATTCATTTAGCAGGCGCTTTTATTTCAAAGCGACTTACAATTAGGGAATACATCAAGCGATTCAACTTAAAGAGGCAAATAGACACAGGAAGTGCTCGTCATACCAAGTTTCAAGCATTGTTCAAATAAGCTAGACAGAGAAAGATGAAAGAAAAGAGAAAAAGTTTTTTTAATTTTTTTTTAGGATGAAGTCAGATAGTGAAAAGAGATGAAAAGAGATGAGTTTTCAGCTGTCGCTTGAAAATGGTCAGGGAATCAGCATTCCAGATAGGGGTTGGAAGATCATTCCACCAGCCAGGAACGGTAAACGAAAATGTTCTGGAAAGTGATTTTGTGCCTCTTTGTGATTGTACCACGAGGCGTTGCTCACTAGTGGATCTCAGACTTCTGGAGGGGATGTAGATTCGTAGTAGGGAGTGGAAGTAGGCGGGTGCTGAGCCTGTGGCTGTTCTATATGCAAGATTTCTGACCAAACTTGATGGGGTAATTGTTGATGAACCTAACTGGACGGTGAAGTCATGCTGTAGATTTGGAGTGGCCGGGAAGACAAGAAGCTCAGTCTTTGCCAGGTTGAGCTGTAGGTGATGTTCTTTTATCCATGCCGAGATGTCCGCCAGGCAGCCTGAGATCTGTGCAGCTACCGTTGGATCATCTGGTTGAAATGAGTGATAGAGCTGTGTGTCATTAGCATATCAATGGTAGGAGAAACCATGTGCCTGTATGATGGGTCCCAGTGATGTAGTGCATATGGAGAAGAGGAGGGGTCGAAGAACTGATCCCTGAGGAACCCCAGTGACCAGCTGATGTGCTTTGGATACCTCCCTGAAAGACCTACCAGTGAGAAAGGATTCAAACCAGCTAAGTGGAATCCCTGTGATGCCCAGTGATGAGAGGGCGGACAGGAGGATCTGATGATTCACTGTGTCAAAAGCAGCAGATAGATCCAGCAGAATAAGAACTGATGATTTGGAATAAGCTTTTGCCATTCACAAGGCTTCCGTAACTGACAGTAACGCAGTCTCAGTTGAATGGCCACTCCTGAAACCTGACTGGTTAGCGTCCAGTTTGTTGTTCTGTGAAAGAAACAATGATACCTGGTTGAAAA